AAAATCAAAGGACAAAAGACCGCACCTGCGGAGCATCTGCCGCACCTGCGACTCCCCAGAAGCGCCTGCCCCCACCGCAGAAGCGGACGCCCTATTCGCACTCAGACTCACAGAAGCAATCGAGTCCCCGCAGGAGCGCTTGCGCATCTGCGCATCTCCCTCCGCAAAAGTGGAACTCGCCACAGCACCTCCCCTTAGCAAAAGCGAAGCATCCATCGCATAAGCGCGTCTGCACCTACGGCCAATTTTGCGCAGGTGCGAAGAACCAGCACCAGAACTGCCAACATGACCAAAAATGATCTGAATCATGTCCGAAACTCACCCGAGCCCCTCGGGACCCCGTCTGAATATACCAACAAGTCCTACAACATAACACGAACCTACTCGAGGCCTCAAATCACATCCAGAAATGTCAAAACTATGAATCGCACCTCGAATCGAACTTAAAAGACTTATGAATTTTCAATTTCTATAACTCGCGCCGAAACATATCAAATCAATCCGGAATAATCTCAAATTCTACATGCAAGTCCCAAATGACATAACGGATCTAATCCAACTCTCATAATCGCAATTCGAGCCTGATATCAACCAAGTCAACTTCTGGTCAAACCTCTCAACTTTTCAATTTTTGCCAAAATGCTTCAAATTATCCTACGGATCTCCAAATCCAAATCCGGACACACGCCTAAGCCCAAAATCACCATATGAAGCTATTGGAATCATCAAAACACCATTCCAGAGTCGTCTACATAAAAGTCAAAACTCCGGTCAACTCTTTTCACTTAAGCTCCTAAAGCAAAAATCATTCTTCCAAATCAATCTCGAATCATCCGAAATTCGAACTCGACAATACACTCACGTCATAATACATAATATAAAGTTGATCGAGATCTTAAACCACCGAATGGGATGCTAATTCTTAAAATGAGTGATCGGGTCATTACATATGACTAAGACCCCCATCATATTCGGCATAACCTGCTATCTCCTCCAGCGTAAGAGTCAACTCTAAATTCGAGAAGTGAAAAACATTATGTACCGGGTCCCAGAACGGTATCAATACCTCGATCATATCAACCCTTGGCTTAATCTTCAAAAGATCGTTAAGACCACCCAATGCCTTGGTCACAGAACGCTGACCGACTTCCCCTAGGTCATTCCACCACATGTGGAGTATCAAAGGAATCTCGTCTACGACCCAAAAAAGTAAATTCTCAACAGTGCACATTCTGTACGCAAATTAGGACAAAGGGTCAAAACAGACACTGTTTTCAAAAACACAAAGTGGCTAAATTTAAAATTTTCGTTTAATAACTTAGTGACAAACATGGGTTATTTTCGCAAATACAACCCTTCAGCGCTTGAGAAAAGTTTTTAGGGTTGTTTCTGCCAAATGGTGTTGATTATAGGGAAAAGACTGACTCGGGTTAATATTGTGGCTATTCTTGCAAAAACGGCCTTCCGGCATCCTGGGAGAACATTTTGAGGTTATTTCGACAAGAACGGCCCAGGGTAATGACCATGTTTTAAAAATTTTGCCATATTCCTATTTTTGGTTATTTTTGCAAAAGTGGGGCCGGACCTGATGAAGATTTTCTACGTATTTCACATCCGGTTAGAATCAGACCTACGTAGTTCGGGGAATTTTTTTCAAAATTAAGGAAAAGATCATTTTTTGAAAGTTTGGACTCATTTTGTAACAACCTTCTAAAAATTCGATAGAGTTTCAGGATTTTTCTTTCTCTTTCTCTTTCTCTTTTTTTTTCCAAAAAAATTGGGATTTTCAGGAACCGGGCAAATTTTCTCCCTCCTATTTTTACTCTCCTAGTTTTTCTTGATTTTCTATCCCTATTCTATAAGCTAATCAACATGCAAACCAGAACAAACAAATGCAACAAGTAACACATAAGATGCATCATGATGGTATTTTATTTTGGGGGTACACATGTTCTAGACGGACCCAACTCCTGTGTTAAGTCCCCAAAGTCAAATGCACGTGATGCAAACAAGTGTACCTACTAGGGATTTGTTCTTCTAAGTTTAAACCTTACGGTGTAGAGTTCTAGACAAGGCTTACCCAAGCGGACAACTCGAGCCGAGGGGGCAGCGTACCGGGAATACATAAGCTTCATCGACTTTGCAACTGGTCCGGCCCTCGATCTAAAATTAAGGGTATGACATCTAATAGAAAAGAAGCCACGCGAAGCGCACGCTTGCTGGAAGATTTAGAAGACTCGGAGAGAAGAAGGATGTCGTAACAGTTTATATACAGTTCACGACAATATTAAAGCGGTAAAGAGCGGCAATTAGCACATTAGACCCAAACACGTAAAGTGAGACAATAAACGAACAAGCCAAGTATAACAGTTATTCTAAGCTCGAATTCTGAACCCTGAACCAGAAGTTCTGGATTCGTGTCCCCAGCAGAGTCTCCAGAACTGTCACATCTCTTTTTTATGGGGAAAGAAGTTTTTCCACTTTAAATGATATTATTTGAAGGATGATTAATTTATTTTATTTTACAAGAGTCACTACTCGAAATTATTTAATTGCGGTGTCCGAGTCACCAATTATTTTGAATCCCAAATCAAGAAAAATTGACTCTATTTAAAGTCTGCGAACATAGAAGATCGGGTAAGGAATTCTGTTAATCCGGAAAAAGGTGTGAGGCACTCCCGAATTCCGTAGTTTTATCACGATCACTTTACAATTATACCTGGCTTACTTATCTGATTATTAGACGTTTTAGAACTTACTGTGCGTTTTAAACTTTTATCGCTTTTAATTATTTTACACAATTATGAAAATTATTTAAACAAGTCACGATGTCGCGCACTTATTATTTTTTTATACATATTATAAATCACGCCACGTGAAACGTACCTGTGATTTACAACATGTTTATTTTATTATTATTTGAAGTTAGGGTCAAGTCATATGGGATGGCTCCTACTAGCTCTCCCCCCTAAGAACCGCACGTGCGAGTTACCCCGCATACGGCTCAAGTGGCTNGGGAGTGAGGGGGGGGGAAGGAAGAATGGAAAGCCCTCACTTTATTGATGGGACATTTTGATCCCCTTTTCCTCTCATCCTCCCCCGGTTCTGGTTCAGGAAAGGGTCAACGCAAGGATCTTATTTCGAAGCAATCTCTGGAGTTTTCCCTTATCCGAACGGGTCTTGCAAGAAAATAGGATTTCATATTGAGCTCCAAATATACGCTATTGGGATGGGATGGCTCCTACTAGCTCTCCCCCCCTAAGAACCGCACGTGCGAGTTCCCCCGCATACGGCTCAAGTGGCGAAGGCCCTTTCCTTCGCGCTTGGTAAGCGCTTCGCTGTAGCCAAGCTTACTGCTAGCCTATCGGCTAGAGCCAAGCTTCGACCGCGACTGCTGGCCACTTCTGGCCGTCTTAGTCCGTCATTCCTTCTTCTGCGAATATGAGATAGACCGACAGCCAATACGGGACTAAGGGAATGTGGGAATAACGAAAGACCGGATTCAAAGATATAGGCCAATCAAAAGGAAGATGGATTGAATTTGAGATTAGGTGCAGGGGCGGATCTACCTTGTAAGTTAGGGGTACCACGGCACCCGCTCGCTTCGCTAAAATTCTTATTATGTACATAATATCTCTGTAAAGAAATGTATAAATGGATAGAGTGGCACCCAAAAGTCACAAAGTGAAAGCGGGTGCCATTGGTTCAACCTTCCCTTTGAAGGCTTTTCTTGGCCTCATGAATGCAAGTTCGATTCCTTGTTGGAGCAGCTCTTTGATTTTTTTTTTTTTCTACTTATTAAGATTTCTTTTATTTTCAGTTGAACCCTAGGGCCTCACCTCTTTTCCTTCTTTTTCGGTTCTTTCCCTCCTTTTATTACTTGCTAAGTCTCTCTTTTTCATTTTTTTTAACTTTCAGTCCTCATTTTGTTTCTATCATTATACCTTACTTTATAAACAATTATTTTCTATAGGTAATTTTAATTGATTTTAATTAGAATATAATTTCTTTATTTTTAATGAAACGATATTAATTTATATTTTGGAATATAATTTGAGCAATATCTTCTATTGGGTTTTGAAAAAATAATTAAATGGCTTGATTGATAGTCGTTTTGAGTTGAATATCGGTTGAATGTTAAAGGTTTTTCTTTGAAAATAATTGTCATATAACTCAACAATTAAGATGAAAAAATAAACAAAGAACAATACAAGTAAATTAACCTAGTCAAACAAAGAATATAGTATAGTTAAGGTACTCTTTAAGCAAGTATTTATATTGGAGGCGCTCTTTCATGAAATGTTATTTTTCTTTTGCATTTTTATTTAGAATGTGTTTAAAATAAGAGTTAAAAATTTGAACTAAAATCGAACTTATTTGCTTTGTGAATGAAAGGCCTATTCAAATTAACCAAAAACTAACCGAACCGACCCATTATTCCTAATTTGTCTTTGTAGTTACTACATGTATATTGTACGCATAACATGGTAGCACCCACAACCTTCGAATCCTGGATCCGCCTCTGATTAGGTGTCAAAGTTATGTCACGGAAACCGTACCCATAATTTTGACGGATTTTAGTTAAAGAGCGTCTAAAGCAAATTACGAATGTTCAAAGATTAACTACCTATATGCGGTAATTTGAGATTAATGTAAAGGCCCAACGTTATAGAAGGACTTATTGTGGATGAACAACACATTTAATCAGGTGGATTCGAAGCTATTGGTTAACCACTAAATTGTCTTTTCCAATGCGTGTAAGATCACAAAAAGAAAATTCCTTAACATCTGGTTTATTAAAGTAATGGTTGAGCCTTCAGTCATTCGACTCTAATGTTAGAGTCACTTGGTGGTGGATGGGAAATTAATTACAGTGATCCTAGCAGGGTATCTAACAGCCATTAATCACCTTAAAACTTATTTATATTGGAGGTGTTTATATGGGTACAAGTCTGCCCAACTCTAAACCCATAATCAAACCCAGTAAATGAAACTCAAGCTGTTCGAAACAATATTAATAACGGGGGCTACCATCTTCAAGATCAAACATGCAATTAATCCTTACATCATAAGCTGCTTAGCAATAGCACACGAAAGATGTAAATCTAATTTGATGCAACATTATTACATTAAGATAACTATTTGTGATCTCTAACAACTTTTAGGACTAAGACTATTCCCAAATCCTCATTTCTATTCAACCCTGCCTGCTGAAATGAACTCAGAATTGCCTGATTAACCTGGAGATTTATAGTCAAATTCATGGCTAATTAAATCTGAAACAACACTCAACACATGATTAAACATTTACTTAAATGAATCAATTGAAAACAGGTTCTAGCACAAGTAACAAACAATTTCAGTTTTAGGTATGGCAAAATTAACATCACAAATTGCTATTACCAAACAAACAGACCAGCAGGTAAAAGCAAAACGTCAAACCACAAAACCAACTCAATTTTTAAACATATCTTATTGTTATTTGAATCTACAACATGTTTTAGACAAGAGTTACATCAAATATTTCAATACCAACTTAAAATTGCAATCAATATGTAAGAGCATTCAACAGAAACACAATTGGCATATTTCATAGCACAATGACATCTAAACAACAATTACATCATTTGAGGCTGGAATAAATACCTTGCAGCAGTGCAAAGTCTTACAAAAAGCCAAATAAAGGCAGGAAAAACAACAGCTATGAAGTGGAGCTCAGCTACAGAAAACCCAGAACAGCAACAGAAAACAAAAATGATTTTTAAAACTTGATCAATTCAGAAAATCCCAGAAATTGTATAGCAACCAGTAGAGGTCAATCAGCTCTTCGAAATCCTCTTCTTTGGGAGTTTTTATTTTGATATTTGGGAGTTTTTGTTTTCAGATCTGAAACTCTAGGGCTTCCAGCTGTTGTTGTGGCTCGGGCGTGTGTAAAGATGTGTGTGAGAGTGAATGAGAGTCTATCCTTTTAAAACATGAAAATTAGGGCAGCCTTTAGATTTTTTCTTTTCCTTCTAACCCTTTTAATTTCTGTTTTTACTCTTCAAGGACCTAAAAGCTGGCCTATTTTATTTCCTAATTACTAAAACACATCCTAGTCTTACATGTTCTCTTTGCATTCAAAACCATCCTCATTAATCTTAGAGGATTTTATCCTATTAATAGATGATGGTACACATAACGTAAATTTATTAGGGAGTAACTTATCGAAGAGAACCAATTAGAGTTTAAGAGATTATATCAAAGAGAACCAATCTATTATAATTGTAATATATGCAAATAAAAATATGTGTACACTCACTTACAATGGAGGTTGAAAAGAGAAGAAGAAGAAGGAGAAAGAAAATAAAAGAGAGGAGATAAAAATATAATTTCTGTTGGCTTGGAATTCTTTGGGAGGTTTAGGTGAGGGTTCTTTAATGGAAGTTGAGAGCAGGGGAAGAAAAGAAAATGAAGGAATAGCTTAAAATCACCTCTTAGGAATAGCTTCTCAGTGAGCGGAATATTACGTACCACCTCGTCCAAATCTTCCCAGAAGTGATGACATATTTTTACATAATTCTTCTATTTCTTCCCGGTGTGATAACAATTTTCAATAAAGCCAACTTCTAATGTTCATGTAACAGTGATTTTTTCGCATGTTCTAATCTTTTTCTCCTATTTTTGCTTGCTACTCAACACTCCATTTTTAGTACATATATGTATAGATAATTTTTTGAAACAATATTGAGATATTAGAGTTATATGGAAAGGGACTGATCTTGTTAGATGTCATTTGTACATATTTTTACAAAAAGTTTATCTTAAAACTGTTTTCTTGAATATTCTAAAAATAATTTATGTTTCTATATTTATTTTGAAAAGTTAATTGCGTTAGGATAAGATGTTTTTTTAGAAATATAAAATATATGCAAAATCTCAGTATAAAGTGAATGGGTCTAAATGGTTCTTTATTCTTTGGATGTTGGTATTTACCCGAAATTAGTTTGGGAAAAGGTCCAATCTAGCCCCTACCATTAATCAAGTTTTAAAAATTACCCCTAACCTTAACGTTTTGACATTGTGGCAGCTGACCCCCTTAATTTTATCCATGTCAGTTGTCATGTCAACTGCCATATCATTGACCCCGCCAAATTAAAACCACACATACCCATTACATTCCTTGTCACCCACCCGTGATCTGTGACTCGTGACCCGTTTACACGCTAAATAAATAAGTTAGACCCGTCTAAATTAACAAAGAGAGTCATTTGGTCTGTATACGTTCGATAGAAACGAGAGAGAAGAGTGTGGAAGGTTCAAAAGAAATTTTTTTATTTTCAGTGTTTAATGTTGTCCAAGGTAAGATTTTCCCCCAAAATCTGAACTTTTCTGCTAGTTTCATATGCTTGTTGTTTATAAATGAAGCATTTTTGTCTTAGGGTTCGCATTTCTTTTCTGTTAACGTTAGGGTTTTTAGATTATGCTTCGTGGTTTAGGGATTTCACTGTTATGTGCTTAGATATGTGATTTGTCGTTTAGGATTTTACTTTGTCTGTATTTTTGTCGTTATTTGTGCTTGCATGTGACTTTTAACTTTATACCCTAATTATTTGCCTGTTTTTGTTGGTCGGTTAGGGTATATTGGTGGAATTAATGATATTTGGTTTATTATTACTTTGTTTTAGAAAAACTTTCTCTGGTTTAGGATTTCAAGTATGTGTGGTCCCTTTTGTTTTTTAAATAAGGGTCGCATATGGTTGGTTTTTTTAAGTGAAAAGGGATTTGAAGTATTTGTTAATAGCTGACTTGTTGTTATTTGGTCCCTTATTTCACCTGCATTTACTTTGAAGATGATGCTCATGTGGGTCTCTTACATATATGTTTTGTACTTATTTTATTGAGGTGGGACTCTAAGTTTGATACTTTATTATGTGGTCCCCCATATGCATGCTTGCGTCTATTTCTTTATCATAATACCTCATTCAATTTTGTTTCTTTATTCATCTATATCTGTACCTTTTTCTTATTCCCTTTATTTATCCCCTCTTTTGTTTATTCAGTCTTTCCCTTACATGTTTATTTATTACTTCTGTACCTCTTGTCTTTGTTACTTCTTTATGCATTTACTATGGTAGGATGTAATAACTTTATTCATGGTTACTATGCAACCTTTTATAGATAGTGCTAGTTGACTTAGTTTTTCATCATGGTGGGGAATGGACTAGTAAGCCACGTATGTTGTATAAAGAGGAGTATGTGTACATCAATAAAGGTTATGACTCTAACTTACTCTCTTATGCTGATTAAGTTGATGAATATGATACCAAGTTTGGGTATATAGGGGTGCAACAACTAATAGTAAGGGGTCTTGTTGGTAGATACTATGAAATAGATGGGGTGTTGGGATTAGGACTTTATTGGACTTTGTTAGTAAATGGTGTAATGTTATTAATTTGTTTGTTGTAGAAGAGTGTGAACCAGCAATTGATGTACCTAATATAGTCACTCACAGTGAGTCACACACAGTAGAAGTTAAAGCTGCTACTGATTGTAGTGATAATGAAAGTGAGGGAAATGATTCTGATTCTCCTGAATTAAGTTCTGATGGATTGGAGCAATTTTTTTTTACAAAAGAAGAGGGACATCAATGATAAGTTAACTGACTATAAAGAGTTAGATAGGTCAATGACATTTAAGGATATACATGAAGCTAGGAAAGTGATCAACATGTATTCTCTTACAAATGGATATGACTTGCAGCAAGTTAAAAGTGACCCAGCAAGGCTTAGGTACATATGTGTTGGTGACTGCCCCTTTGTTTGTCATATATCTAAAGATTCTTCAGGGGGTCGGTTTAAATTCAAGACTTTAAAGCCTGAGCACATATGTGAACCTGCATTTGAAAATCAAAGAGTTGATGCAAATACAATAGCTGCTTACTTAAAAAAAAGCTTGCAAGATAATCCCAAAATTAAGGTTAAAGAGATGAGAGCAAGCTTGAAAGCTGCATTTAATGTAAATGTTAGTGAATCTAAGTGCAAAAGGGCAAAGAAAATGATTTTGGAGAAACTTGAAGGTAGTTTTTCAGATGAATATAATAAGCTTATTGCCTATGCCAATGAACTGAAACTTAGCAATCTTGGGAGTGATGTGATAATTAACTTATCAAAATATACTCTTGAAGAAGGCAAAAAGAGGCTTTTAAGGATGTATATTTATTTTCAAGCAATGAAGTCTGGGTTTAAGAGTGGTTTGAGACCTTTCATTGGATTGGATGAAACATTTTTGAAAGGGAAAGCTAAAGGTCAGCTCTTGGTGGTTGTTAGTCAAGATTCTGCCAATCATTTTTATCCATTGGCTTGGGCTATTGTTGATAAAGAAACAAAACTTACTTAGAAGTGGTTCTTAGGTCACCTGCAGACTTTACTAGACCTCAAAATGGGTAGAGGAATCACATTTATATCAGATATACAGAAGTATGTACTGTTTATTTGTACTGTTATTTTTAGCTATTTTCTTAGTTTCTTTGTACTGTTATTTGATAATATTTACTGATATTTGTGGGGGTTGATTGACTCAATCCAAACTGTTCTTCCTGAGTCACACTTCAGATTTTGTGTAAGACATATAAAAGCAAATTGGTGTAGGAGATGGGGTTTTGATGAGTACAAAAAATTCTTTTGGCGGGCTGCATGGAGTACTTATGAAAAGGACTTCAAAGATCAGATAAAGAGTGTGAGTCAAGTAGATGATGATGGAAAGGAAGTTGCTGAGGATTTTTTAAAGTATCTACCAAAATATTTGAGTAGGGCATTCTTTGATACTGTTTACAAGAACCAGTCTGTGGACAACAACTTGACTGAGTCATTCAATGCATGGATCTTACAAGCAAGGCACAAGCCAATCATTAAGATGTTTAAGGATATTAGAATCAAAGCGATGAACATGATTAATGAACATGAAGCTGAGGTGATGAAAAAAATGCTATTATTGGTAACCAACTTAACAAACAAAGATTGGCCAAGTTGGAAGCAAATAAGGGTAATGGGAAGAAGCAGACTTAATGCAATATGATGTTCTAAAATATGGAGCTATTGAACTCTATTATGATTGTATATTTTTAGTTGTGATGTAATTACTGTTAGCCAAGTAAACTTGTTATTTTTGGTTGTGTGACTGTTTAGTTAGTGACATGTTCACTCGGATGTTATGTTATCACTTGGTTGTGTAGGTTTTTAGGGTGATAATGTGACATCCCCTTGTTTGGGGTTTAATGTAGTTTGACTGTCTAGTTGGAGAAACTTGGATGTCATGTTGTCACTTGTTTGTGATATTGTTTTGAGGTGTTAATGTGACATCCATTTGTGATGAAGCAACTATTAGTTTATGAATTTAAGTGTTCGTTTCATTCCTATTTATTGTCCAACTATTAGTTTATGAATGGTTTAAGTGTTCGTTTATGAATGGTTTAAGTGTTCGTTTCATTGTTATAGATGCTGTCCAACCCCTTCATTGTCCAAGATTTAGGAATCTGTAGGTTTATCACCATTAAAAACTATCTTGATTTTGACAGAGACAATGCCTTCAACACATACAATGTGTATGCTTTTGTAACTGCTATGTTCATCAGCCCATAACATCAACTAATAATATATCAGGTTCATCACAATTGGTGCCCTCGAATACATACACAAAATACATAAATATTGAAATTACATTAACTAATGTAAACGGTTCAAAATAATATACATAACACCTTCTCTTCCAATTTCAAACGAGAAGAAAACTGAAAACAAAACATATTCACTAAAAAATGATCACAACAATAGACATCAACAAGATTCACCAACATTCACTTTATCATCAACGCCGCAACAAATCCAATAAAAAGTGCCCATGAAATCATAAGCATCATCCTCGCCTTCAAAACCTTCTCTTTCAATTTCATTAATTTTACAGCTTCAGCTTGGTGTAGAGCCTCCATGGCAATTAATTCTTCTTTCAATTTATCCCTATCATTTTTAATCGCTTCCAAAGATGATGTTAGATCTTTAGTTGTAACCAAATCACTATTCAACGAGATTTCATCTTCCCATTCAAAATAACCACAAGAACGATTCTGTCGAAGACAAAAAAACTAGAGAAGAAACTAAGATCTTTATTATTAGACTATAATTTAGAGCAAAGTGATAATAATTTAGAGCTTTTGTTAGAGAATCACTAACATTAGGCTTCAGACATTTATAAAATCGCCTTCTAGGGTTTAATGGAGTCGTTGAAGTGAAGTGGTTTGCAATGATGCCACAACGACACCTAATTTGGGAAGAAGAGCTTCCTTGCGACATTGAAGGCCGAGGAAAATAGAATTGGGGTCGTGTGAGCCCTAATTCTTTGTAGACGGGAATGCGATGGGTCTGTGGGGTTTTAATTTGGTGGGGTCGATGATATGATAGCTGGCATGGATGAAATTGAGGGGGTCAACTGCCATAATGTCAAAACGCTAGGGTTAGGGATAATTTTTAAAACTTGATTAACGGCAGGGACTAGATTGGATAAAAAGTATAACGGACGACAGAAGTAAACAATATACCATAGTAGATGAATAATTTTAGACATTTTCCCAATTAGTTTCTTGGTCTGATGTGATTACTAGACATGAACTTCAATAACTTTGTTTACAAAAAAATCTCTACAATTTGGTTACCAAAAACTAAAATTAATGCAAAAGCATATTTTCCAACAAAATCTAAACAAAAGACATTTAGAGAATATTTAATAATCAATGTGTTACGTATGAAGTAATTAAAAAACTCATTAAAAGGCCCTTAAACTCTATCCCCAAAGTTGCAGGCAATTCTATTGCTGATTCTATTGTAAAAGATTCCTTCATTTATTCTATTGCTGATTCTGCCCCTTAGGCATCAATGGCTACCAATTTGGAGGATCATATAGAAAAAGTTTTATGGACAGAGCAGCAAATTTCTCGACGACTTTCTGAGCTTGCTTCCCAAATTACCCTCAACTTTTCTTCTTGTAAATCCGCTCCGGTCGCCGTTGGCGTTGCCACTGGTGCTTTTCTGTTCCTAGCTGACCTTGTTCGCAAAATCAAACTTCCCATTTCCGTTGATTTTGTTCGGGTTGAATCGTACGGCTCTGGTACTGTATCCAATGGCAAACCCAAGATTTCTTGCGACTTGAAAATTGATGTTACTGGAAAGCATGTGATTTTGGTATGAATTTGTTAATTATAGTGTTTGGGAGAATTCCTTTTTTTGGTATGTTAGGGTTCATCAGTTTGAGATATATACGTGCAATTGAGATAATTAAAAATGCAATCTTTATTCACTGGTTATACTTATTTTTTCAGTTCTAGCAGCTGAAATTTTGTACATCATAATTCAAACTGTTGTAATTTATAAAAGTATTCTGTTTGTGTCACTTTATGGAAATCTTTGCAAGACTAAGGGTGTGCTTGGTATGAATCCAACATTTTTTGGCCACCAAACACCAAAAGATACCTTTCTTGAAAATATTTTCCATAAAAGAGTGAAAGATGACTTTCTTCGCTTATGTTTTTCTCTTATCGTGTCCATTTGAAATAGTTCTAAACATTAGAGGGTTGGATAGTAAGACAAAGTTTCTTCTGGAAAGTGCTTTCCGAAAAATATTTTCCATCATTACCAAACACACCCTAAGCACTTCTCCATTTACACATTTTTGCTGGAAAGGTAGAAAATGGAAATCACCTGATGTGGGTGCACATACAGAAAGATTGTTTATAACTAGGGGGAAGCAAGAAAATTGCTCTTTGTGACTGGATTTTTAAGTCCCTTTACATTTGAGATGTTGCATGTATGACTTGACAAAAGATCACGTGTACATCTTAGTTAACATAAGGTACACGTTTTCCAGTAGAATATCTTGCTACCATTTAGGATTTAGGGGAGATCCTGCCAAAGTGTGTATTAGGGTCCTCTTGGTCGAGCTTTCATTCTCCAAGTATCTTGGCTGGTTAATTTGTCGTGTCCCCATCTATTGTCGTCATAACTGCTGCTATTTGGTTGTCTCAGTCTTCCCCTTCCCTTCCTCAATTTTCAGATTTATAAGCGAACCATTAGCTTGTGTTGTGTGTGAGTTGCAGTATATATAAGTTTTGTTACGTGCTTGGAGCATGAAGATTCTTTCAACTTAGCCTTACCTATCGGTCGGACTCGTGAATCCTGTGTTTAAGTTGTAAAATTGTATTGGTGACCATATCTAAAATGAACCTGCATATCAGCATACTGACATTTTATTTGATTAATTATTGTTTTTGAAACATGTTGAATCTGAGCTGATAATCATGGCTCTTCTGACATTTCTCCAGGTTGAGGACATTGTGGATACAGGAAACACGTTGTCGTGCCTCATTGAACACTTGAAATCTAAAGGGGCATCATCCATATCAGTGTGCACTCTCCTTGATAAACCATCAAAGAGGAAGGTTAATTTTGAACTTGTCGGAGAAGGGAAGTTCTACCGTGGTTTTGAGGTAATCTCTAACATTCTCTTTGCTTTATCTTGTCTAGCAGGGGAAAAAAAAGGCAATGCTTCTTTTATCATAGTTGCGTTCTGCTTCCCAGACTGTCTAACAGAAAATAAACGAAGTAAAACGAGAAGGGGAGACTGTAGCAATCACCTGCCTAATCTAAAGAGCTAAAGCATTTTATTTGGGGAAAAAAAAGCATATTTCGAGAACCTTTAAGTTAACTCTTAATTCATGAAAAAGGAAAGATTAATCTCTCTCCACCTATGAAAGACTTATTGCAGTAGCAAATTTTCTTGTCCACACTGTGAAATTGGCAAGTATTTGATATATGCTTCTACGGTTTATGTGCTTTCTTAATATGTCCCTTCCGCATGAGAAGACTTGAAATTATTCATTGTTATAGCAGCCAGTAACTTTCATGACAAAGAGGTTGGTTTACTACATTGGTTGATGACCATTTATGCAATAGAGAAAAAGTTGGCATTGGTTTTGTAAAATGATACTACATTTTTAGTTCTTTTCTTGCCCCATAATTAAATTGAGAAACTGAGATTTCTCTGCATGTCGCTAACCGATATCACAGGAAGATACTATTGGCAAATCAAATATTGAAACATAGCATTACAATAGATTAGACTCGTTGCTATTTTGATGGATAATCAGCCTATAACAACAGCATGTCTAGAAAGAAAGATGTAGTTTGTGTTTGGATAGCTCCTAGCCTCCTACATCCCCCTTCCCCTTTCCTCCTGCAGAAAAAGATTAATTGAAACTCCATTCTTCTATTTGTAAATGTTTACTTATAACTTTCTATTCCGCACTGGGAATCTTGGTTCAAGTAAGTAACCTTTTATTTATCATTCGTCATTTAATTTGCATGCAGTGTCCAGATTATTTTGTGGTTGGCTATGGGTTAGATTTTGCTGAGCTTTATAGGAACTTACCCTACGTGGGGGTCCTCAAACCTGAGATGTACAGTTGATTCCATACAAGGAAAATTCTTTATTTGATGGATACATTCAACCTTTTGCTGATGAAGAGGTGCCAATTTCCTTATTTTGTGAAACAGAGGGACTGCAAAGGATCAGTTCTAAGCATTTTTTCCCCTTTACCCGGGCCCCTGCCCCGCCCCCTTGCCCTCGTCCAGTTTATATTCTAATATACTTACACCTGCATATTCAGTGTGTGGCTCCTCTCAAATACATAAGAATTGAATAGTTTTCGCAAACTTTATCCCTCATTTTCCTGTCTCTATGTTTTGTTGTGTGCGCGCCTGTATGGTTAGTAATTTGTATTTTAGTAGGGGAGTAACTATTATTAGAACTCAACGGCATTTCAATTTTCTGAAATTCGTTTGACTGACGTAGATTATTCTATTTGACCAACACTTGATGAACCTGCAAAATAACTAGATACTATGAAATCTGATGTACTTAGAAAATACTGATAATTGAATTACTGATAAGACATTTTGTTCCCTTTCGTCAAGTAGGTAAACTAGGCATATGAACCACTTTGCCTTAGATCTTACTTTTCATTTGTAGTAAAAAGGTTTTCTTTTCTTCCCTGTCTTGTACAATATATTTTGAGTTCAATATATCCAAATTTTCAGCCTATGCAATTGTTCAGTCTCAACGGTTAATAAGTTAGGCAAGTTATAAACATTGAGAGAGAGAGAGAGAGAGAGAGTATCATTATTAAGTCACTTGGTTCTCAATAGATTTAAGAACAATAAAAAGAAAGAAAAGAAGGAAATAAACAACCAGTACATAATAAATATTAGAGCAATATTCATCATTTTTATGAATGCAAGGGACATTATTCTTTCCATGGAAGTGCAAGAGGGCGTGGATTTTTGGGATTAACTAAATTCCCAGCAGTATCATAAATTATGACACCAGAAAATTCAGGAAGCTGGCACTTCCCTCCCATGATTATATTCTTCTTCCAGATTGCAGAGACTTCACCACTACATGTGTTTGGATCAACTTCTCCAAAATAGTAACTCTGATCAATCTCTTCATTGTTGAGTTGAATAACAGGATCATGTTCATCACCATAGCCATAACATGCTCTCCATTTGCGCTTCCATTTCCTCGAATGGCTTGCAATTAGTTGAGATAGGCTAGTGAACTTGTTTTCCAAGAGTACTAGTGTGCGAGCCATGAAATAAGTATATAATTAAGTCGTCGATTTAACCTATCTTGATGGGATTTTTCTAGTTGGTAGCGCGAGATGTATTGGTTCTCCCTTTCCTTGTAGCTTGTTTCTAAGTTGGACGACTGGTGTTATTTAAGGGTATGTGCTTATGTAAGTTGCATGGATGAATTGGGGTTGTTGAGTTTGGAGATTAGTTGCATAATCTACAGTTTGGTCCAAGATTTGAAGCAATAGTTAATAAAGTGAAGTGGTTTTGGAGACTTAGTTGTGGGTTCAGTTAAACATATCCAATTTCTCAAAATAGATAACAAAGAATCTGAAGAAGTCCTATTTGTCAACTTTGCAGAGGGAAAATGTATGTGGCTAATCACTTCTACCTGATCCAAATTACTTTTGATCTCGAACACGTGTGTGTAATTCGTCCTAGCAAAAGCAATCTGATAGTCAAAAAGTTGCAATTGGAACTATAGTTACCAATTCAACCAAATCCACTTGGATTGTCCCCTCAGGAACATCCCATACAAAAAAATTACCCGTTTGACCATAAGTATTTACAAATAGTACATAGTAATTTAAAACTTGTTTAAGGTGTACTTCACTAAAATACTGATTTTTCAACTTTTCCCGTTTCTTCAAGTACATTTTTGGGGTTTTTACATTGTATAGCCGTCCACCCAAATAAATAGCCGGTAAATGTGCAATTAGTGTATAATTTTATTTATATTGGCTAACGGATGTAAATAGTTTCAGTCGAGGGGCCAATGTGTAACCAAATATTGTCCGAACCCTACCAAGATTACAACATTATTTCCAAAAAATGCATGGCAAAATTCAAAATTGGCCGGTCGGGCGAAACTAATCGCATTCCCCGGCAAAATATTACATTTATATATATATATATACCTTCATACAAACAATATACATTTATCAGCTATTATTATTATTATTTGGAGAGGCTAAAAATTATAAATTTCTCAAAATTGTAAGTGGGAACATGGGCCTTTCTTGCTCACCAAATTCTTTTTCAGCCCATTAAAAATCACTAGATCGGGGTTTAGTTACCCCATCAAGAACAGCAAAGGAAAGGGTTTTCTTTTTCATTTTCCTTTGCGTTCTTGCTCGCTCTCTCAATCAAAATGCATCGACGTTCATCAATCTCTCTCTGCAAATCGCTTCTCAAACACCCTTTTGAGAAATCAACAGTACCCAAATCTTCTTTTTCCTTAACAACTCTTACATCTGACTCAATTATATCCGTAAACCCCACGAAAGCCAGACATTTTCTTGGTCCAACGAGATCAAATTCATCGACCCAGTTCATAATTTCGCAGAATGTAAGGAAATACAGTGTTGACACTGATAAAGAAGTTGATAAAATTAACCTCAAGTTTGCAGAGGCAAGAGAGGAGATAGAATCAGCTATGGAATCCAAAGAAACTGTGTATTTTAACGAAGAAGCTGAATGTGCTCGTGCTGCTGTTAAGGAAGTTCTTGACTTGTATTATGGGTTGTTGGAAAACCTGTCAGAGAGTGAAAAAGGAGTGATTCAGAGGTCTATGGGGCTTAAGATTGAGCAATTGAAGGCTGAGCTTGAGCAATTGAATGAGTGAATGGTATGTTTTATTTGTGGTTTATTTTTAAAATTTTTTAATTCATTTGGTCATGTATACTAACAACTTCCATGCAATGCAAATGCTAATGATTGGAATCAAGTGTAACTGTATAATTGTGTCTGACTTGTTAGCTTGAATTTAAAGATTTTTTTGTCTGATTGTTATGTTGTAAGATGCGCTTTTCTGAGGCATCTTTTTCCGGTAGATTAATTTGCATTGCATATTCCTATTCACTATGAATTTGATATAGAGTAATTTTACGAAGCTGTTATGAGTTCAGATACAAGCTCTAGTTCATATCATGAAATGTTGCTTATATGTCTACCAATTTGTATGTACTTTCTCTACTTATCCAAAAAAGGAAAAAGTTGTGTGTACCATCTGTATATTTGACTGATTCTCAATTTTGACAAGAGTCTGCTCCTCTCTCAACTAAAGCTCACAACTAGTTGCAAGTTTAAACATTTTTTTCATTAATAGACCTAAGCGACAATAGTATGGAAAGAACTTAACGTTTGTAAAAACTTTCCTACTAAAAATGTAGCATCACAGGAAGCATCTGATTTTTTTCTGATAAGGTAAATATTTATTTATAAGGTACCAAGATGGTATAAAAAGATACAGAAAACATCCCAAATTACAACATCAGCAAATTGTTCTTCCCCTTCTAACACCTCCAGAAATTCCATATAATGATTCAGATTTCCTAACTGACTACATTTGCACCAAAAATTACAGATTCTGAAGACATATTCTTAATTCTAATAATGTGATTTCTATGTCCCATTTCAAATAAAATTCTAATAATGTGATTTCTATGTCCTTCAAAACAAGCCTTGTTTCTTTCCAGCCATAAGGTCCATAGGATGCACAATGGAATGGTTTTCCACATCTGTTTCAGCCTTCTAGGTGCCCTTTGAGATCGACAAGCTTCTAATAAGCCCTGCACAGATTGAGGCATCACCCAAGAAATACCACAGATGCTAAAAAATAGATCCCAGCATTGCCCATATACTCTGCAATGAAGAAGGAGATGGTTCACTGATTCTTGCTCTTCTTCACATAGATAACACCTATTGCACAGACTGAAGCCTCTTTTCTGCAAATTATCCTGAGTCAAACAGGCTCCCCAGGCTGCAATCCACCCAAAGCAATCTACCTTAACTGGAGCTTTGGTTTTCCAAATAATCTTCCAAGGCCAGTTATTATCTCTGTGATTGACTGTTCTATCAACCTGTTGTAACAGCTTTTCACTGAGAATGTCCTATCCTTGCTGGCAGTCCAAATCAAAGAGTCCACCTTGTTATGATCAATTGCAACCTGTCCTACTAGCTGCAGCAATTGGGAAACATCCTCAACTTCCTAATCATCCAAATTCTTTCTGAGAACTACCTGCCAACCTGTATCTGAGTAGAAATCAGACATGGTACTGCCCCAGTTAACAGAATAAGTGAACAAATTAGGGAATCTAGATTTCAGACACTCATCCCCTATCCATAAATCTGTCCAAAACTTGATTCTTTGTCCATTTCTAACTTCCAATTTAGATAATCTAAAAATTCTTCCCATAGTCTGCTAATGCACTTCCATAAACCTCCTCTTCCCTTCGTTAGTGTTCGCGAAAGCCCCAGTTAGAAGATGTTTACTGTATGTGATAATGGATAGATGGCCCAATCTTGCTATATTGGTTGAAGTTGGCTAATTACTTACTCCTTTAAGTTGAAAAGATCATTGTCGTATGGAAGTAGTCATGTCCTTTTAGTCTGAAACTGTCTTGCAAGGCTACGGCTTCAATTTCATTTCACCAGATGTGTGAAGAAATCATTAGTTGCATATAGAACAGCACCCTGGCACTTCATTCGAAAAAGACCAAGCATTCATTGACCATGCACTTATTAGGTACTTATATTCAATGTACGTAATACAGGATTATCACTTATCAGAACTAAAAATTAAATACATGAGTAACGGGTATGCGGTTCTTAAATGAAGAATGATATATTCTTCCTCTTTATTTTGGCTCAAATGATTATGTAAATTAGTAGGAGCAGAAATCACCATATTCTCCTATTTTTTGGCCTCTGGCGATCCATGGTTGTCTACTGCTGTACTGAGCTTCCTTGGGACTGATATGTTCATTTTAAATGTGTAACTGGAGCTGTTTTAATTGGAATCCTTATTGGCGTCTGATTCACTGATTCTTGGTAGATTTCTTGGCATTAAAAACTAGCAGAACTATAGCGATTAAAGTTTGTTCTGGGAGAATCAGAGGCAGCAAAGATTTTCCACATTTGTGCATTGTGATATGGATGAGCTGATAAATGATAATCATATTTTTTTCAGGGTTAATGTTGGCGTGAAAAAATATGGGAAGAGCCTTCAGCATAACCATAGGAGCTCAAGTATTTCAACTCTACAAACTACTTGTACCTACTCAAATTTTAACCTGTGAAGTCCTGCCAAGGCACTTGTCTTCTGTCTCGCTAAATCTTAATAACTGCATTAAGCTTGCCAGTTATGCTTTTAAGTAAAGTCCTAAAACATGTTATTCATTGACCTAGATATTTGAACCTCCTCCTTTCTTTGCCAAATTGAGCAAGTGAATTTGTATGAACGATGAGGATGGATGTTCATTTCTGTTCAGAATATCTTAAAGTTGTTATCATCATATTGAAGTCTATTTCCCAAGTAGTTATTGATATGAATAATTTTGTACCACCTATTTGTATACATAGGTGCCCACTGCTTGTTCTAATTTAAGTCCTTGAAATAATTTGGTACATTCAATCATTTCATTTTGGGCATTCTTGGTTGCATTACCTATCTCTTTATTGGTATTTCTGCAATTTTTACTTCTTCTGAGTCTTATCTCTAGTTGCAATTATTGCTACACCTTTTTGTTTCCAAAAGTATATACATTGCATATGGACAGAGTCATCATCAAAGAAGTGATGGAAATGATGGGGAGAAACTGACAAAGAAGCTAAAACTGAATTCCAGGATCTTATTAGATTTGGTTTTGACCAGACCATTCTTCCAAATAGAGAAATTTTAATAGTATTTTTTTTATGTGCAGTTACTAGTATCAGATATCACATATATCCTATCCTTTAAGTCGTGCATAATGGAGATGAAGGCATGGTCTACATCTGTTTGTTCCCCCTTATTTGCTTACTCGGTCCTACATAAATATGCAAATTAGTCTTGATATAAGAATCATTTGTACGTAACCACTATGTTCTATTAGGCTATTTGGTCCACATACTAACTGTGCAAAGATTATAGTGTAGGTATTGTTTATGGGGTGAAAAATAATGAAAAGATTGTTATGCATTGTTGTGTACTTGTGTTCTGATTTTTAATGAGGGAATTGTAGTGTACAGATTACTCACTTTAATGTCCGCTTTTGTCTTTAAGTAGTTTAATCCGCATATTAGTAATACACATTTTTATTCCACATTCTATCCCGCATCATAGATTTTTTTTTTTTTGCATAACTTAACGTGGATATTATTTAACTCAAGCAGACAACAAAATGCCACATTAGTCAAGCGATTATTATTATTTCTTATCTGGCCAACCAAATACTGTATTATTTCCTGCATTAGTGTTCATAAGATTC